CTCTTCACCTACACCTAACGTGTTGGATATCCAATTATCATTTCAGCAGGCAGGGCTTTCTCAAGATGCTGCTGCCTGGCTGCCAGAGGCAGACGGCTGTCAACGAGAAAGATCTATGACAGCCACATTCGACATTTGAGCTCCTGGTGTAGACAACATTCTGCGAATCCGACCGAAGCAACTCTTTCCCTTGTAACAGAGTTCTTCTTGCATCTCTTCCGGTCTGGCCTCTTGTTTCAAAAATCAGGAACTACCGTTCAGCTTTGGCGGCTATCCACGGTGAGTTTCCTGATGGATCCTCTGTCTCTAACAACTCTGCGATCCATCATCTTCTTTGGGGAATGTTTATTGAACGTTCCCCAACCCAACAACTCGTTCCTTCATGGAATCTAGGGGATGTCCTTCGACTTTTGGCTAGCCCCCCTTTCAAACCGGCGGGACAAGCTACCCTTCTTCATTTGGGTATGAAACAGTCTTCCTTTTAGCCGTCATCACTGCTTATTGAGGCTACGAAATTAAAGGTATTTCCATTGCTGATGGCCATATTCGATGGGAGCCTCTTGCGGTCCATCTTATTCCAGAGATTGGCTTTCTTACCAAGAACCAAACACCCTCATTTCAACCACTGGACATCTTCGTCCCATCCATCCAGTCGTTAGCCTCATCCACCTCTGACAAACTCTGGTGTCCTGTCCGGACACTCAAATAGTTCCTCCACCAGACTAAGGACATCCGAGGGCAAGCAACTCAATTACTCATTACATCTACCAAGCCTCACCGTGCAGCGTCCAGAGACGCTCTTGCCTGGTGGGTGGTTTTAGCTATTAAGTTTGCAAATTCAGACTGGCCCACTGCTTCTGATGATCAATGTTGATGCCATATACGTGCTCATGATGTTCAGGCTGTCTCCTCCTCATGGGCTTATTTCAAAGGCGTCCCGATTTCAGACATTTGTAAAGCCACTTGTTGGAAATCCCCCTCAACATTTACCTCTCTTTATCTCGGTGATGTTTTGCAGGGGGATCATTTTCACGGACTGACCGTGCTCAAGACAGGATCTCAGTAGCTCCATATACAGCCGTCCCTCCCCCTGCAAGTGGGTGCACTCAAGACATTTACATGGTGAATTGTTCTTTGTGCTTACCTCTTGCAGTCCTTTACTAATCTGTCATTTTTGTTCATTGCAGGTTGTACGTGACTCCTCCTGGGGTTCAGGGTTGTCAGTGCGCTCTTGCCTCCCCGCCGTCCCCTGGTTCTGTGCTACTTTGCATATGTATTGGTAATCTGCGTAGGTTGCAGGCAGTAGACTCTCCCCCCACCTAGAGTGGGACGAGTCTACTACTGCATGCCTATGTGAGAACTGAATCAGTGAAAACCAATCACACAAATTTATCTTAATAAAATAAGTTATTACCTATTTACAGTCCCGAGGTTCACTCACTGATAGTTTTGTACAATTCCTCAAATGGAGATATTCATAAAAACTGACGTTAGAGAATTGCTTTGAAGTTTGATTAAAGAACTACATTAGACGCTTTAACACCAAACACTATGCTTTGAAGGTACAATCACAAGAAAATAGAAGTACAGGAGTGTAAATCAAGTCGGCTTCAACAGCAAAATATTCCACCACTACACCACATGTAATTACCGCTAAGTGAAGCAAAATTTACTGCAAAAGCCATCAAGGCTACTTCCAAGTTCAAGAGAAAATATTCACCCGATACTAAGGGTAAATTATGCCACACAGACTAAATAGTGCCACACAGGCTAAATAGTTCCACTCAGGCGAAGTGTCGTACACAAAAAAAATTATTAAACCAAGCCTTGAATACAGTGTAAAATAACAGTTTTTCTTGGCCCGCATCCGCCATGGACGTCTACGGTAGTGGTAGTGCTCTGCCAAACAGCTAGTCACGCCCCCACTAGACACAGCATAGAACAGTGGAGAGCATCTTGGCCGGCCCCAAAGTATTAAAACTGCCATAAGGTAGGGCTCTCTGGAAAAGTTGATAAATTCAACTCCAAATAGTTGTACAATACTGTTTCTAGTGGCTGACAATTATCTAAGTTGTGACTTCAAAATGTATGACTCTTCTATCAAAATATTACAATAATCTTTCATACAAGTACCATAAATTACTCAACACAGAAAACAATTATTCTTACAGTTTGTGGCTTCATGGTTTTCTGCAGTCAGTCACCAGTTCCAGGGTCATTTGACAGTCCGCTCAGGATGGGGAAAAGATATACATTATTTGTGTAAGCTCACAAAGTATGGCAACCCCAAAAGAGCACAAGGCCCTTAGCTGAAATTACTCTTGCTTGATTGGAGAGAGCCTGACCACTGGTGTTGAAATGCTTTACAGCAAGACAACTGACTGACCATGGGTAGCACACCTCCACTCTAATACATCACACTCCCTCACACTCCAGTGCACCCAATGAAAAGACCACACCCAACTGAAACATCCCAACTGCTTGTACTTACCATTCAAATGCAAAGTCCACAATCTAGAGCCCCAAGCACCTTGTGTTAAATGCAAATCAATGACATCACACACTGAAATGAATATTTAAATCAAGCTTCTTTCTTCTCTTGTTGCAGCCAAAATTGGGAAACTCAATAAAACTCTACCTGAAAGAAAAATAAAAGTTGTCATTTTAAACAATAAAATGGGCTGAGATATGACAGCCTACCAGATTACCAATCTCCCTCCCTCCTCCCCTCTCAGCCTCAGCGCACTTTGTGTGTGTCAAAAGAGGAAGAACATGGCGGCCGCTTTCAAGGGAGTCGAGCGAGTGAGGGCGCACTGCTGGTCATTGAGAATTTAGCAAGTGGATGAAATGGACTAGGAAATAATGCATATGTATTGGTAATCTGGTAGGTATGTAATAGTAGACTCGACCCACTCTTAGGTGGGGGGAGAGTTTAGTTCAGGAGATGCATTAAAAAAAATGCTGATATAAGGCAAATTAAAAATCATTCTTAAATACCTCAAATAGTTTACATTTGATAATGCTGCAAAATAATGCTTTTCACCTGGATACAAGACAGGTTAATCCATTCCTATTTGTTGAGAATCTGCGTGCAACGTGGCACGCTTTCCCAGATTTACCAAGCTGCTCCTCATCCAACCACTGTTGATTTCAACCTACCAGCTGGACGTAATTGCAAAGCCTTAGTCAGGGATTCTTACATCGGAAATCAGATCTCTACCTGACATGCGGGTCCTTGTGCAGTGAACTTTCTATGCTTTCTTAATGCCAAGCTGTTGCCATGGTCATATGGGGGCAATGAACCTGAAAATTATACGACAGTGTGCTACCATGTTGTACTTGATGGTAAAGCCAGAACATCTCTGACTGAGGAAGCCACTTTTCTTTCACATCTCCTCAACTCAAGTCTTGCAGTAGAGACAATCAACAGCTACTGACTGCTGAAATATTGAATGAAGTAAAAACCCTTGTGTTTGTTGCAATAACAAGCAGGATTTTCTGTATCAGGGTTGCCCATGTTGCAGTCCTCATGCACATACACAGCTGGTCTATGTGGCTGTCATTTGCACAGGCATGTATATCTACTCACAAAAGGATACTGACCACACCACATGTTGACTGTTGTTCTGTCAGGAATAAGATTTTCATTCATTTTATTATCAGACCTAAATTCATTTTATTATAACCAAATTTTCAATGTTTGAAAAGGTGCACACAAAAAATCTGGGAACCAAGGTGCATGTTCAATATACCAGATTTGTTGGTGAATTGGTGTTCTATCTGGATAGGTAAGTGCTTTTGGGTAAGATGAACAGTGTAGATTCCCAGCAGTGTAGGATGAGTTTGCCAGGAAATACTTAGCTCAAACACAGGAGCAAAACAAGTGAGATTATGGGCTGTGCACTGTAATGTACTGTAAGAGATAGAGGGTACTCTAAATTTGATAAAACTTTAGCATATGAATAAAAGCGTAAGGAAAATATGCATAAGTAAATGTTATTTCAGTATTCTCTAGTAGATTCATATCACATTGCTGTTGGGTGTTTAAGGTTACATACACATCAACAACACATTTTATGCTGTTGTAATATTCTTTAAAGAGTGGTGACCCTTAGACCTATGAAGAAATTAGTAATGTTTGACCATTCTTTAGGATTTTGTTTTTAACCACTCCCTGCCGGGCGACCCGTTTTTGAGTACATAGGCTTTATATGCAGAGCCGGGAAACCCAGAACTGGGCAAAAGAGTTGGACCTTATGAACAAAAGACCGTGCTCAGCACGAAAGACTGAGCTTCTGGGCATTACCAACATTTTTTCGCTCTCAGTCGTGGAGATAATCCAGCCTTGTTTTGAAACAGTATGCCACGGTTTGAGGCATTTAGAGTGAGCGGATTACCGCCGGGGACAAAAGCTCTCCACACAGCACTGTTACACGCTAATCTGGCCCCTATTGAAAAGAGGTCAGCACTGCACTGTGTCGGGAACAAAAGAATCTTACATAACACTGCACAATCTGGGCTCTTTTTCCAAGGCTGCAGGCCTGGCTGAAATATTCAAAAGTCAATGAAGGTTAAATGTCAGCTTTAGAGTAGTGCCTAAAGAGTCCTTCATGTAGATATGACGGCCATTAAATTAAATGATGAATTTTTGAAGAATTTTGAACACGGAAAATCTTGAAAAGGACCCGGCATCTTGTTTTGCTCAAGAAAAATCCACCTGGCAGCAAGTGGTTAAGAAAGGTACCCCCGTTGCTTTCAGTGTCTGAAGTTCATACCAGAAGAATTCACATGTTGTATTTTAAAGGCAAATGTATAATGACAACAAAAATGAAATTTTGTAGTATGCTTCATTAGAAAATTCTAACAAATGCTTCAACTTCCAGGGTACAGGATTAGTAAATTGGCAGTAAGCTGTAACAAAGTTTGCATTTACAACTGTGAAATTCTTTCAAAATAAAGGCAACATTTACATATCTGCTTTTCGAATGCTTTTGTTGTAGATAAAAAAATCTATCTGGCAAAATGCAAGAGACCTTACTGGGAAGGTAGATACAGAGTTTCTCCAGCAAATGTATTCGCAGAAGTCAGAACATAACATTCCAGAGGCAGTTGAGAAAGGTATAATCTTCACAGTTGCCCTGTTGTGATCATCCTTTCATTTTTTCAGTTTTGTTCTTGTTTATTTGTGTACGAGTTTGTTTTCTACATTCACCTATGGACACTGAACAGTTAAGGACAATACATCCCCAACTGGGAGAGAGTTCTGGAGTGGTAAATTGAATGCAAGATGACCCCTTTAAAAATATCTAAATAAATGGAGAGCAATGGATGTCTATGATTGCAGGTAATTACAAACTTGTGTTCGTGTGGTTGGGATGTTTGATTCTGTTTTGAGTTTTTATTGTGATTGACAGACTAATTCATCGACTACTTATATACCATTTATGTGGAAGCACCATGCTTACATACAGGTGGTGAGCAGGTATTACACTCCTCATTGGCCTTTAGGGTATCAATGGTGGCGGAATGATTTTCAAAGTGGGGGGGGGCAGTTATGAGATCATCACATATCAGCCATGAAAAAGGCTGACGCATAAAGCCCCTGCACATTATAGGACCTGCAAAAAGTGTGTAGGAGGATGGCTTCAGTCGAAAAAGTTTTACTTCCACCGCCAGTGGGTGTCATAAATTACAAAAGTGCACATGTTCAAGTTTAAGAAGTGTCAGTGTGGTGCCACCATATTGGGGACTCCTTGGATTGGTGTATAGTGTGTTGCTACTGAGAAATGATGAAGGCACTGTTTATTGATTGCCTCCTGTGGAGACAAGCTGTTCATGGCTGCTCTTGCCATGTTTATAAATTTGTAGAAACAAAAAAAAAAAGACACATTGCATAATGCATGTGTTTTCAATATAGTCTTGCATGAATCAATGGAAGCAGTAAGAATGCTGATAAAACGCACATTTTCCTCTTTTTTAACATCATTTATTCCTGTTTAATTCTGCTGCTGTGGCATAATATCTCTATGCTGTCTACAGATAGCATTCACAAATGAGGCGATACACAGTGGTAAACTATGAATAATGATGTTGCAGTTTGATAATGACCTGCCCAAATTGATGTAATTCAAGATAATAGGTTTTGGGCTTCAAGTATTGGCACCTGCCAAACTAATATTTTATTTCAACTCTCTTTCGTATTCAGTTGAAACATCAAAGAGGAAACTGAAGACCTTTTTGGACCCAAAAGTTGCTCAGAATCTTGGAATATTTCTTGCTGGCTTTAAAATGGATGCTGAAGAGTTGAAGTTCAGATTGGCAATTCTTTCAGAAAAAGACGGAGGACTCAGTGCTGAACAAATTAATATGTTAAGACGGTAAGAAATGTTATTTATACTTCATGATGATAAATTCAGTTTACAAATCGCATTTGACTAAGAAATTCATAAGGTTTTTTTTTCTCTTTCTGTTCTGACACATTCATTATACAACCTCTCACACATTGGTTGCAATAAGTAGTCAAGTGATCAGTTCCTGTTTATAAGTTGTACCTTGTGCTAGGTAGATGTTAATTGATAATTACAGGTTTTTTGTTTGGTTTTGTTTTTCCCTTTTTGCCCGTACACAATTCAGCGTGGCCTTGCTGCCATGATCCTCCTTCTTTTCTTAGCGCCGTAACATAACGGATGTGTCTTTCGAGGTATCTTCGATTTATCGAGCTTTCCTTTTTGCTACACGTTTCTGTGTCGATTTGATCACCTTTCCTTCCTTTGTAAATCAAGTATAGCCTGTATTTTATCCATTTAACTGTAAGAGTGTTCTTTTTGTGTATATTTTTGTGTTCTTTCTTCGCTTTTCTTGTATGTGCGCCCTGCAGGTGTTTATTGCCGGTACTACGAAGTTTGTTCCAGCTACGCTGTGTCTACCGTACCAATGAATTATTGGCCGTAGCCAGTTGAATTCAGGGGGTTGCTGTCAGGATCTGTAATACTACCCTGACTTCTCCAGCTACAAGGACGAGGAAAACGCCTTGCCATCGTCCATGGGGCTCCAGCCAGGATCTGGCCAAGCCCCTGGTTCATTCAGCCCAACGGAGTTGACTGGAAGCTCTGTGGTTGACTGTGGAAGACCGGAGCAGGGACACTGCCAGGATCTGGCAAGGACTCTGTCTCCTTGGTCAATTGCTGGCCTGGCGAGCCAGCCAGCACTCCCGGAGAGTACCCCATCAGACATTTCTGGGGCCCATCCTACCATCATCATGAGGTATATCACGCCTTTCGCCCGACATGGCCCAGAGGAATACATACAGTGTTCCAGCTAGTGTTCCCCAGCGACACTGAAGAGTACCACCCGCCTAGAACACCACTTCTCCGGCGGCCCCCTGTACGTACTCCCTATTGCCGTTATACCAAAGTCACCGGGCCGGGCTCCCCATAAGTGCTAGGGTCCGCCCTGCCTGGTGTGCCACCGAGCCATGACACCCCGACACCTGGTAATCCCTTATCGGGTCCCGCGGAGCTTACCAGGGTTTTTACGCCTCTGGGGCTTCAAGCTGCCTTAGCCCATCCAAGGCTCTGGCTTTCAACTGGGCATCAATAGGCCATTGGACCTCATTTCTCCTGGTCCCACTGCCCAGAGTTCTGCAGTTCCCATTGACTTCACCAGGATAGCACCCTGGGCATTCTGCCTCCCTTGACCCCATCTGCTACCTCTGCCGTTGGGTCACCCGCCACCGGAAAAGGCAAGCGCTTCTCAACTTCATCAAATTCCTCAACCACCACGAACATACCTCTGTGGCTTGAATGTCGGCTTTCCAGTCCATCAATGAAGTTCCAACCACCATTACTCGCTGCCTCAGCGTTAGACTGCTATCAGCCTCCACCGCCCCAGACCCGTTTCTGGTGGATCAGGCCTTTCCGCCCTCTCCAGCCACAAGCCATGATTACATCGGGGAGGGTTCCACACCGGAAGCGCACCAGCCAAGCGTACTCCCTCGGGAGGAGGCTGCTCCCCACAGGACTGCGCATGGCTCAGAATGAGGCACTGTCCTGTCCCCGAACAGGCAACCAGCATTGTCTTCCGAGAAGAACGAAATTGTTTCCATCAGCACCCTCACTCCATCCAATGGCCACCTCTTTCTTCTTCAGCAAGACATAATTCTAGTGCTTGGCCTGCCGGTAGCCGCTTCGCCAGAGGAAGACATCAGCCATGACTTGTTAAACGACATGGCATGACTGGTATCCTCCAGGCCAATTTTTCCAAATTTCCAGATATTCTACTCTCTAGCCAGAACTTGGCATGCGTCCCAGTCAACTGTAGCCTGACGGTCCTCCACTTAACCACCAGCCAATTTAGAGGGCACGCTCGACTCTTGACTATAGCACGGTCTTACTTCAGTCGAAGCAAAGTGACGGTCTCTTTGGTTGAAGATAACACCATTTTTATCAGCGTCCTCACCGCCTGTGACATGTTCCAGATTCCGATCCTTCGTCAGCTTCCCTTCCAGAGGAAGACACTGACCACACCCCCGCCAGTCAACCGACTGCTCTACATCTTCCAGATATGCTTGCTACGGGGCCCCCATTCGTGCAGTAGGCTCTTTGCCTTAGCGAACCGCTCCCTCTTGTAAGCCAGAGCGTCCCAGGTGTGTACAGTTCCGGGCAACGTCTCCTCGTCGCCTTCCCTTTATCTACGGCCTTCAAGAAGAACGTCTTGGAGACAACTACTCTGTTCAACACAGTGGAACACTGTTATAACAGGGTCCTTGGAACTTTACAAATTCCTTATGTTGTCAGTTAGGGAAAATAAATAAATAAAAAAAGAAATTCTTTGTCATAAATATGACCTTGTATTATCAATGCTCGTCCCATCTGTCTTCAATTATACATGTATTGTGAGAGTCCATTGGGCTCCCTCCTAAAATGAGCATGAGCCACTGCCCCACTTTTCCAGGCAGCTGTTACATGCGTATGCAACGTAGCCTCCGACATATCTACAGCGTGGGTATCCAGATGTAATCCACATGGTAGCACTTTCCGGGCCAACTTCCTGGATCATTGCCCAAGTGAATACTCCATCAGTACATGGACCCAATCCCAAGTCTCTGTCACAGCCTTCTGGAGCTGCTGTTCCTGCCATCGATAGGCTCCCCCAGGCCATGGAGAAGTGCGTCCACACTTTACCTGGTGATCTCTAATGACCGCTACAAGTCTTAACCTACCAGCATTCAAGACTACGTCACCGGGCACCAAGACAAGAATGAACAAATCAACGTTTTCCAGGCAGTCTTCCTATCTTTTTCAGTTCTGTCACAGCAAATTCGTCATCATGACACAGACCTACTGCTGCGTCTTTCCAGTCTGCATCCCTAGGCATCTGGCAGCCGTTGGGATTTGTACACACCCCTTGGCACCCCATAATCCGGGGTTTCCCCAAGGGCCCTGCGGGAGAAATGAAGCTAGTCTATTTCCACTGCGTCTCACCACGTGCAACCCAGCAGAATGACCATTACGTAGCCCCCACTCACGTGGCTCCATGTGGGCACAGATTCTGCCTTTTGGCCCTGCCATATAATGCATACTGAAGTGAACACATGTTCACTTTAAAGTAGGCGTGTCCAAAATCTAATTACTGTGACTGTTATGAGGTCTGTCAAAAGTAGTGCAGCTGTGAGTCACCTAATTTGTTGCAATAGTGCTGTGGGCTTTCTCTTCTGATAATGCTCAGCATGATTGAAACGAAGAGTGAGAATTCTGTCAGAATGAATATTTTCTGTTGTTAGTTCTTTTGAATTTTGAACATAGAAGTTTGATTTGTATGCAGAGATCCTTTCCTAGAGCAGAAATTACTAGCAATTTCCTCCAGTCAAGATTAACATGTACTAGAATGAGTACTTTTCTTGGAGTGAGTTGCTATGGATGCTCATTCTGTTTTTCATATTGAAAACGTCATGCGGCCTGACTCCTCTATGCCGGCCATTTATTTTTCATGCATGCATGAAAATGATCAAAATTTTCTGATGCAGTCAAGGTGCCGGCGGCTACACCGGTTACAGAACCTGGCTTTCCTTCAATGTCTTCAACACCCTTCTGCATATTCAGGTGTTATACACTGCCACTAAAAACAACTTAATCTAGGTTACATGAAGTCTTTGTCTCGTTCTCTGACCTATTTCATTTCTTTCCCTCTTGTCAAGGTAAATTCCTTTGATGGGAAAGAAGAGTTCTCCTTTCCGTCCAGACCTCACTACAGTCATGCTAGAGACTCTGAATGATTATGTCATATCTATCTTTGAGTATATCTTGTGGCTTTCTTGTCTCTTTTTTTCTCACTGCCAAACAAAGTCACATTAATGGAAAGGACATGGGATCATGCAGTTGACCTGCAGACGATTCACATGGCAAGGTCCCACAACATAGTGGTAGACGCACTCTCCCTGGGATGATAGAGTAGCCTTACATTGATCTCTTTGCTTAACTTCCCATTATTTTCCTCTTTAGCAGGACTTTCTGGCAATGCTACATACATGACCGCATGGGACGTCATCTGCCCACCTTTCAAATATGTGACAGTATTTTTTAGCATTTTGTTGTGTGCGTCGATAGTCAGGCTTTGGCTACAGCTAACACTCCTGTGAGTACTATAACATACTTCCTTATGTACTTCTTTCACTTGGAGCTATGAGTATCTACAACTCATATCTACAACTCATATCTACAGGTCAACCCTAGCTGCCATACACATTGGTTTCAAAATCGGTTCAACTGCCCTTAACCACTTACTGCCAGGGCATTTATCAATGTTTTAGGATGCTGGGCCGGCATAATTATCATTTTTTCCGCTTTCAAAATTCTTCAAAAATTCATCATTTCATTTAATGGACATTTGGAGCCGCACGAAGTAATCTGTAGGCACTACTCTAAGTTGACAGGTGACCTTCATTGATGCCCGAGTATTTCAGTCAGGCCTGCAGCCTTGTAAAAAGAGCCCAGATTGTGCGGTGTTATGTAACTTTCTTTTGTTCACAAACCTGGCTTAGTACACAGCTGACCTCTTTTCAATAGGGGCCAGATTAGCGTGCAGCGGTGCTGTGTGGCTCATCGCTGTGGTCGTGGAGCGCTTTTGTCCCCGGTGGTAATCCGCTCGCTCCGATGCCCCAAACCCTGGTATACGATTTCAAAACAAGGCTGGATTATCACCACTTTTGAGAGTGAAAAATGTCAATGATGCCCAGCAGCCTGGTCTTTTGTTCGGAGTACGGTCTTTTGTTACAGGGCCCTGTTTCCTTTGTCCGAGTTCGGAGACCCTGGCCATGCATATAAAGCATACATCTCCGATTCCAGTGTCCCCGGCAGGAAGTGGTTAACAACATGATGTT